GTACAAAAAGCACACCGGGAAGCATATTCGGGAGGCCCTCCACCGTTCTCACAGACCGGAGTCGCGAACCGGCAGTGAGATAAGTCACACAATGTCACAGTCCATGAGTTCTCTGTTTCCCGATGCTGGCGGTGAGTGCATCCTACGTTGTTGAAAAAATTGCCTTCTTCTTGCCTGATACACACGTCTGGTTGTATATCTAATTATATAAATTGCATATTATGCCAATACGCATGTGGGAATTGTGTTCCACTGATCTGGTCACACGACTAATTAATGCTCGTTCCACCGTGCTTTTTTGTTCGGACATAGCCTCTTCCGACCGTCACAGTCGACGAGGTTCACTACTACGCCTTCGGTTGTGGCGATGGTGGTGGCGGTGGTGATGATGGTTGCCGTTGCGTTGGTGGTGCTGGTGGGGGTGAAGGTGGTGGTGATGGTTGCGGTTGTGATGGGAATGAGGCTGTTGGTCGTGATGGTGATGATGGTGCTGTTGGTGGTGGTGGTGAGAAGGCTAGCTGATCAAAAGCAGGAGGGGACAAGTTCAAGAGTGGACAAAGTGCCAACATAGTGCAACTAGTAAATTCCACGTTTCTGAGCGTCAACGACAAATTTTGTGCGTACAAGAAAACCGGAATGACTGTTTTGTCGTTATACACAGAGATTCTTGTGTGCTTAAGCATGTGGAAATATCGAAGACTACCTTTTTTCGAGTTCATTTTATGGTGAACTTTCTAAACTTCACCTTCTTTGAGTGCTTAGATTCTGTTATTTCAATATCCAGGTAATTCTGCTTTTATTTGGTAGTACTCTTCTTTCAGCTGAAAGACATAGTGTCGGCTCTTATCTGGGCCATGATGGCGACGTCCTGGGAGCCTCATCAGTTATTTCCGGGAGCGACCTAGATGGCGACGGAGTCAGCCGCCTCAGCTCTGTAAATCGCCCAGTAACTGTTCAAAATCCCCTTCCCAGTGAGTCCTTCTTTTTTTTATGCGTCCAAAAACTTTGCTTTTGAAGCTTTTTGCAATGGCTACCAACTCTATTCCGTGGCATCTAAATTTCCTCTCATTTGTTTCTTCAGCAATTCAATCTCCTGGCCTATCCCGAGCGGGTAGTCGGCGGAAGATCATCCAGCCAGGCGTGGAAGTTAGTAATCCCACAGAGCCGAGGACGCCAGCTCGTCGCAACTCCTCTTTGCTAGCTACAGCGCAAAATCGAAAGCCTCCTTCACCGCCTAGCGTCAATGCGACCGCCGTCAAAGAGTCGTCGC